TGTTGAGGCTTACAGCGAAAATAATAATTAACCATTGTTAGTGGTCGGTAAGAACTGCGAAGAAGTCAGCGGATCAGCCAGCTGCTCACGCGAATAGTTAACACGTTGCTGATGCGATCGCTTGAATTGATGTCGCACCCTGCTTTGGCGATATCGCGCCCAAGAAACAATGGCGCGATCCGCACACGCAGCTGCATCATCCACAAATAGCTGGAATAAACCATGTAGTGATGACCTCCCTTCGGTTAATTGCTGTCGTAGCGCCTTTGCGTAGCTCGCGAACTGCTTTCTTACTGTAGGTATTTACCACAGCTTGTGCTAGTCATCTGCACAGCGATTTCGCAGGAAGCAGAGGTGCAGCAAGTGAATGAGCGGGCGTATGAGGAGACCTGCGTCTTCTGAATATTTGGTCCACTGAGAGTCAAATAACTAGTGAACTTCCTGTTGACGGAACTTGTAAATCTATTTGGATTTTTATGCTTGAGGTGATCTGGAGGATCATTCCAAAAAATGCGACTTGTGCACAGAGTGTAAAGCAGCTGTGAGTTTTCAAAAATGCGGACATATTGTATCTTCCGAAGTTTGCAGAAAAGTATTAAATACAAGATTTTAAAAAATGGGAGGATCTTCTAGATGACTTAGCTTCACCGAATGGCTATTATCATGCTGACACAAAGTTCTTTTCTCATGAAGCGTGAATAAATCTCTCAGGAGTTTGGAAAATAAATATACTAGATAATCCTATTTTCGGTTTCCACCCATTTGAGTTTGTTATTATCTACTCGAAGTCTTAGGTTGTCATCGTTGCATAGCAGATAGCTGAAGTTGAACTAATATAGATGGGAAAGAAGCACTTTTCTTATTTTCTTTTATTTCAAAGACTGCACTTATGCACGATTCAACATCTGCTCTGATGGTGAAGTCAAATCACTTGTTCCAGAAGCGCCATGGGTAAAAACAGAGTTCCCCTTCGTTCCTGTGAAAAAGAATACTAACAAGAATATTTCGTGTTCGTACGACGGTACACCATCTCCGCAAGCTGAGTGGTTCTTCAACGGGTACAAAATCAACGTGAGTGCTGCGCAAGCATTCGACCGTACGATATTTTAATTAACCTCATTTAGTTCTCTGAGGAACGTTTTCGTAACACTGCACAGTATGCTCAACGAAGTGCCAACCATACCAATGCTATTCTATCCATAGTCGGAATAAATGAAGTAGGTAGAAGCGAGTAAATCCAAATTGCCTTCTGTATGTAGCCTGTGATCTCAGGATTTATTCGGTGATTACATGTGCCGAATATCGAACAACTTGGGCTCAGCATTTGCTGTGATTCACGTCAGCGGTGAGTTTACACCTGCTTTTATGCTGCGGTCTTTCCACAGTGAATTATAGATGAGGAACTAGCACTGTTGACTAGTCAAACGATCTATTATGACATACAAAAGAATATTCCAACACCTAATGCCCATTCATTTTGGCGCTAATGTCAACACGTTGTCGTGTAGAATGGGCTCACTAAATGGAGTATTGAATACGCATACATATATTAGGGGAGAGCAACACTATAACCAATGTCTTGATCATAGCTAATAGCGGCTTGGGCGTGAAATCATCGGCTCCTGTGACAGCAATATGCCAAAAATATGATTCTGTTCACTAACTTGAAAACCAGTCCACATCTTTCGCTTTACAAACTTCAAATTCAATTTTTGCTTTTGTTGTCTTCTGATCGGCTCTCATACGTACTCCCTTGTGAACTAACAAATTCAAAGTGTGCAAATCATCAGCTACCCCTGTCGCCAGTTAGTGGCTTTCTCACATTTTCTAGAAATTATATTCTTGCACTGCACTAAAAGTCTCAACTCTTTTGGTTGTTCTAGTATAGATGCCTTGACCCTTCCAAATTGCTGGAAGACGAGAAAAAGCCACCATAATCAAATCCAGGTCGTCCTGGACCACCAACGGTCACAGCTGATGGTTCCGATTTGACTTGGTCGGTACGAGCGTACGAACCGGTAATTGAATACCGAATCTACTACAGGCCCGAGAACGCAGACGAATGGAACAAGTATGAGAGTATTCGAGCCGCAAAGGGTTACGTTACTCTAGATGAAGGATATCTTCCTCATTATGCAAACTTTATTCAGGTGACAACAACGGCGATGACATATGGCAACACAGCGTGTCGTTATTGCCGTATCTTCAAGCTGGAGTACGGTACGAAGTCACTGTAAAAGCAAGAAATGCTCTGGGATGGGGATCGTTTGCGCGGGAAAATCTGCTCATTGAAATTCCGGCTGATACAGTTGGTGAGTTGTTTGTTTCTCAGGTTGTATAAGAAGCAACTAATGGGTGCAGAGGTGCGGAACGACGTTGAGTGGTTAGAGATCTAATTGGCTAACATTTGAGACAATTATGGCTTTGAAAAGGTGACGAAGGTTGAGTAACAGAAATTCAGTGAACCAAACGTCAGTCAGAGTAAAGATAAGAAT